TATTACATTGCTGTGGTTAATTTGAGGTAATAGTGTTACTGTAGAAATCAGAGAATCACTTTTTGTTGTTATATACTCTCAGGGAGATGATACAAGCTCTAAATCTGAAATACACACCACACACAAATGTGTATTTTCATCTAATTGTACTGTGCAACAGTTAGAATAAAGTTTTTGTATTTGTATGATTGCATTTGTGTTGTTGTTTAAGTATAGCAAGTATATTGAATATAATGTAGGAATCAGTAAGGAATCGGAATCGTTAAAATCCTAACGAGTCCCAACCGTATTGATGCCACACAATTATTTTCAATGTCCTGACTATAACACCAACTATTATAATCCAGTGTGAAACAGAACTCAAGCTTTTCACTTAGAACACTGGTGCTAGGAAGAGCATTGTGATTTCCATCAGAGTCTTCATCACTGCTGCTCCTGTTGTCAGTACTACTGCTGCTTTCATATCCTGGTGTAGAAAAAAGAAATCATTTTATAAGAGTGCAGACATTTTAATCTACATTATATACACATCATGTATACTTGTTTACATTCACAAACATATGGCCATGTGTAAATGGCAAAAAGCTGAAACTCTACAAGACAATTATAGCATTATTACTGCTGTTTTTTTATAAGATTATCTGTTTGGCCTGTTGCTTTAGGACAGCATGAAATTGGGAAATAGAGAATGGGAGAATGACACCGGCCGCAGGCCAGGATTGAGCCAGTGCCTCTGTGCATGCTGCGTACAGACTACACTCCTAACCAGGTGATGAAACCGGCAGCAATAGGCCGTCGGTAGCTTAGTGGATAGTGCCAACGTGGTGTAGGAGTGTAGTCTTCATCACTATCCACACTGGCAAGGCAGCTGTCGTCACTTTTGACTGGTGGAATCCTGGTTTGAAGTCCACCTGGTTGCTTCCCATAGAACATAGATGAATTCATTTTGTTCTGTGCTATGGAAAAGTACAAAAATTGCATTTATATCCCAGCATGCTACTTTTATAATGTTTATAGAAATTAACTAGAGTGGCATTTCCCAAAGAAAATGCATGTGGGTGCTGAAATCCACCTAAATACAGCATTATTTCTGTGCTGCCGTTATGGCCGAATGTGGCGAATTTGCGAGTCGCGTCAAACATAAATCTTCAAATAACATATAAATTACTCTCCACATGAAGTCTATTCCAATATGTCAGCTGTAGAAGCAAACAGGAAGCTGACACGTATTGTTACCTTAGCACAACTTACCTCATATTGAACAATTTCTCCAAATTTGCAGCCTCCACACGCAGCGGTTATTAGCCAAAGCGTTAGCTTCCATGAACCGGATGTAGTTGTCACTCTGACCGGTCCGACAAGAAACCAGTGCTTGCAAAAGAAAATAACTTGGCTTCCGGAGAGATGGAAATATTGAAAGTGTATGAAAGGCCCGAATCCGGTCTGTTATCCGTTTTTTCATTTTGGTTCTGGAAACACATATTGAAAAAACAAGTCATTATTTTGTTTTTTCATATTTGGTTTTATTTTGAAAAACGAAGGAACGAAGGATACAGGGATTACTGCTGCACGCCGGGTGATCACCTGACCATATATGCTGCACACACCAGGATAGCTTGTGGGCGTAATGTCAACAAACTCCACACACTACAGGAGATGTAGTCACGTTCACAGGCACACACGTTAACATTTATTTAGGTTAAATCGCAAATCTCAGCCTTTTGTGCCGTTATGTAATCGCACAGCCTGACATAGTGATTGCAACAGCGATTAGATTAATCGTGCAGCACTACTACATACAGACAGCTGTCATTTCAGCTTATTAGTAACAATTCGCTATCAGCCGAACCAGCGTGCTGTCCTTGTGTAAGACATAACATTAGTGTCAGTGGATGACAGACTGTGGATGGAGCATATTGAATATCCCTGTCTACATGTTTACATGTTCATGCTTTCTGAACACATGTATTGATAAATTATTGGCTTCTTACTCGCCAAGGTTTAATTGCATTTACAGTAGTAAGTGTGGCTGCCTTCAGCTTGAGTCATTTACGAGTTATCTTCACTTTGTTTCCACCGCCTCTGCTTGGCTGTTCACCGGTATATGTGGAGGAGTTCAGCGCCAGCACAGAGGAGATACTGTTAGCACTTATCAATACTATGGTCTTTGATAATTTAGCCCCAGAGCTAATTTAGTACCGGGTTTCGGTACCCCTCCTTAATCAGAACACAAACGAAATGAAGCTTGAGGAAATTAAATAAAGTTTACAGCGGCTGCCCGTGTCAGGAAGTGCAGAACGCTGCAAGTGTGTATTCCACCAATCAGCTGTCTTCAGCACACAGCCCCGCACCTCAAGAGTTGCCAGTAATCTGAAAAGTCCTACCCCCCATACTAGGTACTTTTTTCAGGGACAGTTTGGGGTTGAGGGAAAGTTTTTTTACCAGGGTAATTTAGGTGGAAATGCGCTGAGGTTTTTCAAAATCCCGGGTAAATGAGAAAAGTTCCTGCGGTGGAAAAGGGGCTATTGTTGCATTATTAGTTTTGGTTGGGTTCCTGTTCACACTGACTTTTTGCAAACGAACCAAGAGGAGTAAACATGAAGTCTGACAGGTAACTTGTTGATTAGACAGTTTTGATGTTTGTCATCCTGCATTATCCGGAGCCATGTGAGGAAATCAAATTCTTGTGACTGACAGCAGTTTATGCAGCAGCACTTTAATGCGTCTTAAGTGTTAATATTTCTGTTCTTTGGTTTCACAAAGAGCTCATAGAGGAATTAATGATTGTAGGCATTATTAGTAGGCTATTATTAGACTGCAAATCAATGGCATGTTATGAATAATGACAAACAAGAGACAGGATGAAAAGAATGTATTTTATAAAGTGATGATTTGGGACTTAATACTGTAATGAAAATGCTCAACTTCAACAAACACTGAAATGAAGAGACTCGGAGAACCACGGAGAAAAGTTACAGCCAATGGGATTACTTTAATTGCAGCATACAACTCAGCAGCATTGTAGATCACAGCAGAAACCTGCAGGAAACAGTAGAAACAGCCCCGCTTATCCAACTTACAAATGCTTTTATACTATTTGAGTGAGTGGGCATCTGTTCGTTTGTGTGTGTGTGTGTGTGTGTGTTGTCCCACTAGGTTTGATTTCTTAGGAAACCTAAGTGTTTTCTGTCCTGTTTGATTTCCAAAAACTTGATTGCGCAAGAACTACTCAATTTACCAAAATATCTCTTTATAAGGAGTCCTTCTTACTGCCAAATCTGACATTCGATCAACTGCTTCTAAGATCTTGTGCAACTGACATTATTTTCACCTTTGATATAGAATGATACATTATACAATACTGGGGATCACTGTCACACACTTTTTAATGGACTTAATGAACAATGTACACAGAGTCAGAAATAATGATGGCAGTTTTAAAAGCTTTTTAATTAGGGAAAATACCCACACTGACATGCATATGTGTTACCATGGTCACATGTATGCATTAGCATAAATAGGTTATGGGATATACGTGGCCTTTATCAGGATCAGTTATGAAATGGCAGACAGACTTCATGATCAGAAGATGGATTGTTACTGGTTTAGCAGTTGAAATCATGCTAAAATCACATCTGCTGTCATAAAATCCTGTGGTTGGTTTGTTTTCTTTCATACCATAAACTAACTGCACCAGAGTCTGTTTGGAAGTGGACCTACCTTTTCAAGCCGTTTCAGTTTGGTTGTTTGGTCAGCACCAGGGGTTTGATTGACAGCTTACACACTAGCCCAAACTAACCGTACTTACCACGCAAACGGACCTGGGTTTGTTATAACCGAAACAAACAAGTTAGGTGTAAAAGCGCCCTTAAACATTGATATCAGCCCAGAGTTTCACAATTGGTGCATCCCTAATTTTAGTTTGGTGACTGTAAGATAAAATATAATATAGTTATATTAGGTACTATATTCTTTTAGCAAAAGGGTGAGGGGGAAGTCCTGAGCATGCTTTAAATAAACTGGTCTTTACAAAATGTTTATACATGTCGAGAATGGCCACATTAAAAGGTTTTGTGAAAAGGTGATGACGTGAGTCGTAAGGCCAAAATGTCTACTTTGTAGACCTAATTTAAAGACAGCCCATGTAACTCCCTAATGGCAGTGGCCCTCCAGCAAGACAGTGCACTATGTCATACCACAAAAAGCGCTCAGGAATGGCCGAGGAATGTGGCAAAGAGCATTGACCTGGCCTCCAAATTCCCCAGATCCTAATCTAGTCAAGAATCTTTGGAACGTCCTAGTTCCCCACCACACAACCCGCAGAACTCAAAGGTTCGGCCACCATGATCCTGGTGACAGACACCACAGGACACTCCCCAGAGGTCCTGTGTCCATGCCTTGACAGGTCAGAGCCAAGTTCAATCCAAGGAGGCCCCACTGTGGATCAGGGTACCACAATTGCTGAATCAGACTTGGATCTGGGGAATTTTGAGGCCAGATTGACACCTTGAACTCTTTGCCACATTCCGCAGGCAATTCCTGAACAGTTTTTGTGGTGTGGCATGGTGCATTGTCTTGCTGGGGGGACCGCTGCCATCAGGGAGTGCTGTTGCCTTGAGGGGGGGTACTTGGTCTGTAACGCTGTTTGGGTGGTTGGAGCACGTCAAATGGCATCCACATGAATATTGGGACCATGGGTTTTCCAGCAGAACATTGCATTGTAACAAAATTATATATGTTATTCACTTCACCTGTCTGAGGTTTTAATGTTTTTGGCTGATAGGTGTAAATCCTTTGATAATATCAACTCCATGGATTTTTTTTAATCTCACAACAAACTTTATCACATTTTATGAAAAGCAAAATTTGTCATCCAGCTTCAGATGCTGGGGTTTAGCTACCACCTCTGTCTTAAAGATGCCATAAACGCTTTGTTTTTTTATCTTCATGTTGCAGAATTGTTTTATGTGTTGTTGGTTTTTTTGTGTTTTTTTTTGCAGAAAGTGCAGACAGACAAGCATGCTGGAGACAGCGAGGGATACTCGCACCACTTTAGCAACAGCACTCCACACCCACGTCCCTCAGACAGGAGAGACCATAAGGACTATGGTTATGATAGAGATTCAGGAGACCACAGGAATTACAGAGACTACCAACGAGACAAGAGGGACGAAAGACATCACAGAAGCAAACATCACAATGACTGCAGAAGCCACAGGGCTGGGCAGGAAAACATCTCCCTGAAAGAGGAGATGAGGAAGGAGAGGATGCTCATAACGGTGTCCCGTGGAGTGACACCACCTCCAAACATCAAGGTTAAGGAGGAGGTGAGCAAGGAGCAGACTATTGGAAGTCATAGCAAAGTCAAAGTGGAAGACACAAACAGCAAGGGAAAGTCATCCAAAGGCAAACGAGAAAAAGATGGCAAAGGCAAAGATGAAAGCAGTGATAGTAGTGATGATGATAAAGAAAAAAGGCCAAAAGAAAAATCACCCAAAAAGAAAAAGAAGAAGAAGGAGAAAAAGAAGAAGAAGGAGAAGTCCTAGTTGTTGTATTAATGCTTTTCACTTTCCACATCCATAATAGACTGACCCCTGAGATGATGCTGGCAGCTTGTTGCTGTCCAAGTTTCTAAACTTAAAGATCCAGGTGTTATCATGACAGTCCTGGGAACCATGTTGTCCTTTATTTCTCTCTCCCCAGTTAGTTGTTTTTTTATTGTTGTGAATGTGTTGCTGTATGGCAGGCCCTCACTTCCTGGATTCTTGTTTTATTTTGTATACAAGTTCATCTGTCTCAATACCTTTGTTATTGTTTGCATATTTTCAAATGACCAACAGCATTGTAGTTTTATAAATGATGTGTGTATTCTGCAGTTGAGTTTCATTTTCTCACTTGTCTGCATTTTTCATCAGAAATATAAGTTGACAGATGAGTCTGTCTCCTGTGGTGACTTTCTATCATAATGAATAGTATGTGTACAATATCATTTTGTCATTAAATGATTAGATGAATGCTTTTTATCTTTGCAGTGTGTTGGCCGTAATAAATGACCAAAACACAATTCTTGACATGTAGTAATAGAAAGTAATCTGCTGTTGAGAGTAATGCAGAAATTTCTATACAACTAGGTTCATTTAGTATTAAAATGTTTTCTCGGCTACGCTGTAGAGGCAAATGTAATGGTGCCTGTATTGTAATGATGCACAGGTCAAGGCTTTTTAAAGCCGCACCAACCTAGCCTATTACAAGAACCAATCTCCCCTAACTGACCAATAAACATATGCGTTAATCAATGACCCGAACTAAAACCGCAAACCTGCAAACCAGAGCTGAAAGTTTCTGGTATTACCAACCTACTTGTTGTTGACTATATTGTACGTAATTTCCAGTAAATAGCACAATATAAAACCCTTTTTTTCTGTTTGAAAAGTAGCCTAGAAACGTAGTAAAACAGCAAATACTCACCCATCTTTTAAGTGGTTACGTCTTAGAAATGATAATGCCTGCACAGTTTATATCCTATGTGGTTCTTTTACATGAGTGCACACCCGATAGGTACAGTGGTTTGTTTACATGATGTTAGAGAATTGCATTCAGTGTGGACAGAGAGGCACTTGGTTGCTGTGAGGACACAACGTAAAGTCTACATATTTCAGAGGGGAATATTTTTACCAGGCCGTGCGTATCTGTGCGTTCCAATACATGTGCTACCATACTTTATAGTATATGCCAGAAGAAGACTTAGTATGTTCCAATACATAGTATGTCAAATGCAGTATGCCAAAAATACCAGGATGTTCTACTACATTTAATTGTATTTGCAAAATGCAGACCAGCATGCTTTTCTGGCTATTCTGCGCCACAGTCGTCTGCACAGTGGGCAATATGTCACATTGATAGAGCTACAGACAGATGGCTTACCAGTAGACATTGATGGTTGACAGCATATTCATGTGACCAAATGACCAGTCGAATAGTAATAATAAAAATATTAATTGTTAATATGTACAAAATAATCATAAAGATTACACAACAAAAGGACATAATTATGAAAATAATGATGACAGAAATGCTTAAGTTCACTGTTGTTAATGTAATATGTTAGGATCTAAAATGTTTGTAGTTATTACTTAAAAGTTAAAACTACATACACTCCAAAGTAACAACTGCAGGGCTCTCCGGGTCGACCTCCTTCTCTGACAAGCTCTGTGAACAGATACATGTGTAAGAGGGTCAAAGTTCAGAGCGTAATTTAATGAGAAAGTAGTATGTTCCAATTGTGTGCATGTAACAGTTCGTACTTTTTAGGGCAGCTGCAAACAATCACAACAACAATACAGCAAACAGCATTAAATCACATACAACAAGTTAAACAGTCTTGCTTAGCCTGTAAAGCTGTGATAAAGCTATGCCCAGTTGATGTACCAATCCTTGAATGGATGGAAGAAAGAGTCGCTTTATGGTGTGCTGCTTTGTTAGCTGGCAGAGGAAGGCGGGAAAGAGCTGTGGTTCCAGGTGCAGTCTTTGTTGTGTCCTTGCTCCAAAGGTGCAGATCCAAGGAAGCCTGTCGCTTGAGGTCCTTGCAGAGTTAGACTTTGGGGTGCTAACTCAACTTGGTTCTCCTTGTTGCTGGAAAGTTAATTGCAAACCTTGTGTTTCCTCCTGCAATGAGCGAGGGCAAGTCGTGGTCCAGGAGAAAAAGAGAGGCCTGTCTGGGCCCAGGAGGGAAGAGGGCATCTCTGGGCTTGTCCACAGCTCAGGACGAAGAGGAGGACTTATGAGAGAACACAACTTTCCTAAAGTTTGCTCGGTGACATTACAAAGGGGCATGTCACTGTGAAAGTACTGTCCAATCAAATTTGACAACTAACATCATCCTTGGTGACATGAACCAATGCACTCTGAAAAACACGCTGAGAGACTTCCATCAGTACATCACATGCCCCACCAGACATAATAAAATCTTAGATCTCTGTTATGGTAATGTTAAAGATGCATATAAATCCATCCCCCTTCCGCCTCTAGGTTTCTCTGACCATAATTGCATACATCTCATCCCTGTCCACCGCACTGTACTGAAGCGAGGCAAAGTGCAAAACCTCAGAGTGAAAGTCTGGGATGATGACGCCTGCCTCACTTTACAGGGTTGCCTGGAGGCCACAGACTGGGAGATGTTTAAGGAGTCTTCTGCTGATTTAGATGAACTGACTGATGCTGTGAGTAGTTGGGTCTCATACTGAGAAAAGTGTTATAGCTACCAGAAAGAAATGTGAAAACTTATCTCAACAATAAGCCGTGGGTTTCTAAGTCACTTAAAGACCTTCTGTTAAGAAAGAAAAAAACATTTAGGGAAGGCAACAGACAAAGCTGTAACCTGCAGAAGGAAATTAAGCATGAGGTCAGGACCTGCAAAAGGCAATATAAGGAGAAAATTGAGTGTCAGCTCAAAATGAACAATCTAGGCTCCGTCTGGGGCAGCATGGAAACAATCACTGGGACCAAAGAATGTGGTAGAAGAAAGTTCAGTTAAATGGTTACAAATCAGATGCAGAGCTGGCCCAGTGCCTTAATGATTTTTATGTCAGATTTGATGCCCTTGATTTTATTAATAAACATTCTGAGATTAAATATTGTCTCATGTCAGCCCCTCCTCTGAGCCCTTTCTTTGATGAGGACGATGTAATTAGGAGTTTTAAAAGGTGTAAACCGAAAAGCCCTGGCCCTGATCACATTGGTGGTCGCCTGTTAAAAACCTGCGCTGACCAGCTTGGCCCCATTTTTAATTATATTTTTAATAGGTCTCTTTCCCAGCAGAAGGTGCCATCTCTATGGAAGCAGTCCATAGTGGTGCCTGTTGCCAAAACAAACAGTCCTACCACATTGAATGATTTCCGGCCGGTGGCTTTTACCTTTATAGTTATGAAGCAATTTGAGAAGTTGGTCAAAGCAGAGTTACTAGTAAAGACTGAGCATTTGCTAGACCCTATTCAGTTTGCCTATAGAGCTAAGAGAGGAGTACAAGAAGCTACTGCTGCTTTACTTAACCTTGTCTATAGGTATTTAGAAAGCAGCAAGACTCATGCCAGGCTGTTTTTTGTCAATTTCTCGTCAGTCTTTAATACAATCCAGCCTCATGTTCTAGCTGACAAACTTGTGAACTTCTTTGGTCTGGATGCATGGTTTGTGGATTGGATTCTTGACTTCCTCACAAACAGATCCCAACAAGTAAGAGTCAATGGAACACTGTCAAGCTTATTAACATTCTCCACCAGCTCACCTCAAGGTTGTGTTCTGTCCACCCTTATATACATCTTGTACACAAATGACTATTGTAGCCGCCACACTGATAGATTCATCATAAAGTATGCGGACGATTCTGTTATCGTCAGCCTGCTTAGTGATGATGACGTCGGTCATGGCCAGGTTCTTGACGATTTTATATCTTGGTGTGATGAAGCTTTCCTCCAAATCAATGTTTCTAAAACAAAGGAGATCTGTATAGATTTTAGACGACCCTCTCTAGTTCCTCAGCGTAGTGTTGTCCACAGCCAGCCAGTTGAGCTCAATCAATCAATCAATCAATTTTATTTATAAAGCCCAATATCACAAATCACAATTTGCCTCACAGGGCTTTACAGCATACGACATCCCTCTGTCCTTATGACCCTCACAGCGGATAAGGAAAAACTCCCCAAAAAAACCCTTTAAAAAAAACGGTAGAAACCTCAGGAAGAGCAACTGAGGAGGGATCCCTCTTCCAGGATGGATAGACGTGCAATAGATGTCGTACAGAACAGATCAGCATAATAAATTAACAGTAATCCATATGACACAATGAGACAGAGAGAGAGAGAGAGAGAGAGAGAGAGAGAGAGAGAGAGAGAGAGATGCAGGTAATGACAGTAGCTTACAACAACATTATTGAAAGTAATAATATTATAGTTATAGTTCTGGCTACTGTGGTACAATATGTTGAAAGTATGTATTAATATCTGGCAGTATACATGTGTGACAATAGTCATATGTGTATAATAACAGTAGAAGTATGACTAATGACTAATGATGGCAGCAGCAGCAGGAGGCATCTGGCAGGACCACGGCAGCAGCACAACCACACACGTCACGCTGTCCAGGCACCGCTGCGATATGAGTTAATCTGAGAGACAGTGGAGCACAAAGGCTCCGGAGAAGAAGCCGAGTTAGTGACATCCAGAATGGCCGAGTTAGCAAGATGCAGTAATAGGATGAGAGTGAGAGAGAGAGAGAGAGAGAGAGAGAGAGAGAGAGAGAGGGAGAGAGAGGGAGCCCGGTGTATTATAGGGGGTCCTCCGGCAGACTAGGCCTAAGTCAGCCTAACTAGGGGCTGGTACAGGGCAAGCCTGAGCCAGCCCTAACTATAAGCTTTATCAAAGAGGAAAGTCTTAAGTCTAGTCTTAAATGTGGAGACGGTGTCTGCCTCCCGGACCGTAACAGGAAGATGATTCCACAGGAGAGGAGCCTGATAGCTGAAGGCTCTGGCTCCTGATCTACTTTTGGAGACTTTAGGGACCACGAGTAACCCTGCGTTCTCAGAGCGCAGTGTTCTGGTGGGATAATATGGCACTATGAGCTCTCTAAGATATGACGGAGCTTGACCATTTAGAGCTTTATAAGTTAACAGTAGGATTTTAAATTCAATTCTGGATTTTACAGGGAGCCAGTGCAGAGAAGCTAAAACAGGAGAAATATGATCTCGTTTCTTAGTTCCTGTTAGTACACGTGCTGCTGCATTCTGAATTAGCTGGAGAGTTTTTAAGGACTTACTAGAGCTACCTGATAATAGAGAGTTACAGTAATCCAGCCTTGAGGTAACAAAAGCGTGGACCAATTTTTCTGCATCTTTTCGGGTCAGGATAGGCCTAATTTTCGCAATATTACGCAGATGAAAAAATG